CCCCCCCCCCCCCCCCCCCCCTCGCCCAGATAAGAGTTTGTGCCCTCCCGGCGGCGGTCTTTTGGTGGCATCCTGATTTTGGTTTGGTCGTGCTCTCGTCACAATCCCCGCTCTCTTGCCTCGCATACACACCCATGTTGAGCTTTCGCGGGGCCCCTTTTGATCGTGTCGTGCGTGTCCCCACACCCGTCTCGCCTTTCCGATCAACGCATCCGGCCCCAAACTCACATTGGCGCGCGCGAACACCAGCAGGTACTTGAACCAGCCACCGGCTGTTCGGGAGAGGAACCGCGTAGCTGCTGGCAGTGGCGGCGGCGGCAGCGGTGGCGGTGGCGGTGACCGTGGAGGAAGGGGTGGGGGGGGAGGCAGCGGCGGCCGCGGGTCCATTGGGCGGAGGTTTGGAGTAGGTGCCAACAGGTCGATCGGTAGCGGTGGGGGCGGTGGCGGTGGCGGCGGCGACGGCGGCGGCCACGCGGGTGACCCTCCCAAGAAGGGCAATAAAGCTGGCGGCGGGGGGGTAGGAGGGGGGAAGGAGACGGCGAGGATGGGTCACGGCAGCTCCGACGTATTTGGCAACGGTGGGGACGTAAGTTGTGGCGATGGTTTGCAAGGCTTAACGAAGGGAGCGAAAGGCGCCGCCGGATCGCTGCACGATCGGAGCGTTGTGAGTGGCACCGGTGTCAGCGCTGGCGCCGAAGATGGAGGTCAGGCTGGGATCAGAAATGCGCCGTTCCGAGCGGGGGGGGCAACGCCGACCGCAAGTGGCTCGTCCGCAGCAGCGGGGGGGGTGGCGGCTGTGCCAGTCCAAGAGCTCGCACCAGCATCGGAAGCGATAACAACGTCCGCGGCGAAAGCAGCACCAGCCCCTTCAGCGAGAGGTGAAATATCGACCATCGTACCCGAGCCGAGTGGTCCTGGCTTCCCCAAAAGGAGGAAAGCCGAGGAGCAGCAGGAGGAGGAGGAGGAGCTGGACGAAGACGGCGCAAGGCCGGCACCGCGAGGATGTAGAACGCCAAAGCGACAGAGAACGAGAACAGTAGGAGGCCCCGTTGACAGCGGCAAGTGTTCGGCCGGCGGGGGAAGTACTAGCGGGAACAGCGGGAGAATCAGCACCAGCGGCGATGGTGGCGGCGGAGGGGAGGGTGCAGTCCGGAGGAGTAGCAGCGGGAACCGAAGAGGCGACGGGGGCGGTGATGGTCGTAGTAAGCGCCGGCAATCTCTGTCGTCGATGTTCCGCGGGCGAGTTTTCGTCTTGCACGGAACCGGGCTAGAGAAGGAGGAGGAAGTGAGGATGGCGGGTCTCGTTGCAAGGTGCGTTCCTATCACCCGCCCATTTTGTTCGGCAATTTCAGTTATATTGTTTGTTGCGGCTACACCGTCCGTGTGGTATTTGCATAGCAGCCACTTCCTTGCGGCTGCACCGACGTCGGGTATTTGTGTGGCTGTCACGGACTGTTTTCTTCCCTCTTTTGTTTTGCTGCGGTGCGTGAAAGCAGGCGGTGCTAGTGAGGTTGGAGGGAGTTTGCGAAGAATGGGGTACGATCGGCCCAGGCACAAAATTGATTCATCAAAATATATAGTACTCCGGACTACATCAGCATAGCTCTTTTTCGATTTTTGTAGATTCTTTCAATTAACACTACGGCTGTGGTCCTCGTTCAATCGTCGCTGGGCAAAGAGACAAGAGACTGTATGCGAGCTCAGCGGTGTCGTTTCGTGTCTGCCGCCAAGAATCCTCACAAAGGCTCACGACCATGACCACACCCGCTCCATGTCGGTCGCAGTCCCCTTGCATTTAGTATGGGTCTTCACGGCACTTGCAGTCACGTTCGATCCATTTTCTTGTGGAAACAGGGATCTTCACTTCTGCACAAGCGCTTTCACGATACATGGGGTGTGATGTTAGACAAGTTACTATTCCCTTGTGACGGCCTGTTGGTTCCAGAAAACCACACGTTGTGCTCATTTTTTTGCGTCTTGGCACAGACATCCCACGTCGTATGTCGACAGTGCTCTTCTTTTCATGTCCTGGGCTATGGTCGCTTTCCAAGCGCTCGAAAAATAAAACAACAGTTGACGCGTGCTCCAGGAAAATTCTTGATGCCCAAAGAGAATCTTTCCTTCCCTCCTACGTGTTGTGGCGATATTGTCGATGATTATTTCTCGCGTTCCCATTCTTCTCCGCCTTTCAACTGTTTCCCCTCTTTCCCACTGCCGGCACACCCCGTGCGTTAGCCGCCAATCACCCACACCCCACTCGCCCCCTCCCCACGGATCAGGCACGGCGGGCGTTGCCTGGACCCCTGCGCCTCCTCTCCGTCCCTCCTCCGGCAGTCTCTGCTCTCCGCCGGCGTCGAGCTCACGTCCGCCGCCTCTCCGGCCGCCGCCCCCTTATTAGCCCCTCACTGCCAGGAGGAGCATGTCCAGGCTAGCGGCGACGGCGGTGGTAGCGTCGAAGATCGCGTTGTTGTTTCGTCCTCGGCCTCGGCGCGGTCATCGACGTCGCCGATCGGCGGTTCTGGTTCTTTCCCGGGTTCCGGTTCGACCGAGGGCCACGAACGGTGCGCCGCTGCCGCCGGCGTCTTGATCGTCGGCGCGCACGGCCGTTGTCCGTGGGAAGCCCTCGCGGCCTGCGGCGGTGGCGTCCAAAACGGCGGCGACGACAGCGGTGGCGATGGTGAAACCGTCGCGATGCCGGGTGGGCTGCGAGCTCTCTTGGAGACGGAGGCGGGCGCGGAGGCGGTGTCGACGCTCTGGGTGGAGGCTTGCCACCGCGGCAGCGAGCTCCGGCGGCCTGGCTTGTGCGAGCGGGCGTTCCGCCCGCAGCCCTGGCCCATCAGAACGTTCTCAGATGTTTCTTGCGGGTCGTCCTTCTCTTCTTCGCCTGGGACGACGACGGCGGCGGCGGGCGGTGGGCGGAAGAACGTCACGGCTCGCGATCGGCCTCCAGCCATAGCGGTGAGTTCTGTTTTCTTTTTTTTGGTCGCGGTGCAAAACGGCGCGTATCGTTGTGGTCCCTTCCGCCCACTCTCTGGCGGGGCTTGAATCGGGTAGCTGGCTCGCAGGCCATTGTAGTGTGTCTGAACCTGTTGGGTAGGTACTCGAAAGAGGCGGAGACATGCTATCCCCCCTAGTCCTGCTCTCCATGGCTCGGTTGATCCACCACCAAGCGGGTACGGCAAAAGGCCCATTGGGTCTACGGAAAGCCCTCGACGAGATATTTCTAAAATCATCTTCTTATGCCGTGTTGATACGAAAGCTTGGGGTATGGAGCAATCGAGCTATGAAAATTGGTCTAGGGAGGGGTGCCACCGTGCCACCTCTCCACCGCTTACGGTACTCTCTGCTGCGGTCGGTCACGGTTTCGTGGAGTTGGCGCGGTCCTTGGCGGCACTAAGAACGAAGCGTGCCCCCAGTCCTGAGACCGAAAACATCCGGCGCTGCAGGTGACGGGCTTTGTCGGGACCGAGAGGGCAGGGTGGGAGCTGCTCATCCAGCGCATGGGGGCTACGATGTGCAAGAACCTCAAGAAAAGAGTCACGACCCACCTGGTCTGCAAGGAGGCGAGTTGCTGGGGGCAAGGGATTAGCTCAGAAGGAAGGGGGGGGGGGGG